TTGCTAGAGAGCATTTAGATGATCCAGAAGAGGATTGGGAGAATGTCATATGGTCAGATGAAACCAAAATATAACTTTTTGGTAAAAACTCAACTAGACGTGTATGGAGGAGAAAGAATGCTGAGTTGCATCCAAAGAACACCATACCTACTGTGAAACATGGGGGTGGAAACATCATGCTTTGGGGCTGTTTTTCTGCAAAGGGACCAGGACGACTGATCCGTGTAAAGGAAAGAATGAATGGGGCCATGTATCGTGAGATTTATAGTGACAACCTCTTTCCATCAGCAAGGGCATTGAAGATGAAACGTGGCTGGGTCTTTCAGCATGACAATGATCCCCAACACACCGCCCGGGCAACGAAGGAGTGGCTTCGTAAGAAGCATTTCAAGGTCCTGGAGTGGCCTAGCCAGTCTCAGGATCTCAACCCCATAGAAAATCTCTGAGACTGCCAAGGCACACNGCTGTTTTTCTGCAAAGGGACCAGGACGACTGATCCGTGTAAAGGAAAGAATGAATGGGGCCATGTATCGTGAGATTTTGAGTGACAACCTCCTTCCATCAGCAAGGGCATTGAAGATGAAATGTGGCTGGGTCTTTCAGCATGACAATGATCCCGAACACACCGCCCGGGCAACGAAGGAGTGGCTTCGTAAGAAGCATTTCAAGGTCCTGGAGTGGCCTAGCCAGTCTCCAGATCTCAACCCCATAGAAAATCTTTGGAGGGAGTTGAAAGTCTGTGTTGCCCAGCGACAGCCCCAAAACATCACTGCTCTAGAGGAGATCTGCATGGAGGAATGGGCCAAAATACCAGCAACAGTGTGTGAAAACCTTGTGAAGACTTACATAAAACGTTTGACCTCTGTCATTGCCAACAAAGGGTATATAACAAAGTATTGAGATGAACTTTTGTTATTGACCAAATACTTATTTTCCACCATAATTTGCAAATAAAGTCTTTAAAAGTCAAACAATGTGATTTTCTGGATTTTTTTTCTCATTTTGTCTCTCATAGTTGAGGTATACCTAGGATGAAAATTACAGGCCTCTCATCTTTTTAAGTGGGAGAACTTGCACAATTGGTGGCTGACTAAATACTTTTTTGCCCCACTGTAATTGGATTAATATAATTTCACATTTGTAATAGGTTGAGGTGAAGCACTTCTATCAGAATTTTGTAAAGCAATGCAATTTCTTAGATTATTTTCATTCATACAGATTAATCTGCTAATTATTTACTCCATTGCTCATTTGAATAGTGGCCAATGGCGTCACAATTCCTCAGGTCCCGAACTGACACATTCATAAATCATTGTTTATGCAACAAAAAGTCAACGTTAAAAAATATTTAAAGGAGCAAGTCTTGACATTGGAAAAAGTTGTTTCAAGCCTTTCATGAGTTTACTGTGCTTAAATATTCATCCTGGAAAGTTACAATAGCTGAGTCATTCTACAGAAAAGGTGGAATCTGGGTGATACAAAACTGCTGAAATATATTCCTTCTAAACACATCTAAAACCTGTTAAATAGCAATAACTAACTCTTAACTTGATGAATCCACAACAAGTAGAGCTTAAAGTATTTTTTATTATGTTTATACATTATACAAAGCTTATTTGTATATGTCACTGGTGTTACGTGTTACCAGGAAGAAAAGTAACACCAGTGACGGTAACACCAGTGACAATTTGGAGAAAACACTACCATTTTAACAAAAAGGCTGCAATGTGTCAGACCAAATATGGCTTCAGTGCAGTCAATATCAAAATCGTTTAACTCTTCAATACAATACATTTTCCCATTCAAATGTTCACCCCTAGGGCTATGAAATGAGTAACATTAATGACAGACTTGAAAGACGCACGTAACATTTGAAGATAAAATGACACCTTTAACAAACAAAGTAAGAAGTATCCTACTGTCCTTATGTCTTTATCCACTGCACTGCCTCAAATGATCTCTTTTTACAGGAGGCACTTCAGAGACAGTACATTATTTCAAAAATAAAAAGCGTTTTGTGTAGCAGTAACACCAATGACGTAATTTTGGGTGACTGACATTTATTTGATATTATTAATAATAATTAGCTTTATTTTTACCATTTCAGTGTTATATTTAATGCTTGTAATATAATGTTGTGTAAATATAAATTAGATTTATTTATTGAAAAATAAATCTTTTAAATTAAAACTATAGGCTCCACTTCCATGTATGATCAAAGTGACAAGGCAGTTCCTTGAACTTGGCATTTTAAATAAATTGCAATTTATGTATAAAACCATTTTTATTTATTTTTTATTTAGTACCATTGCAAAGACAATCTCTATTTATTCAACATATATAATGAATGTGAGTATTAGGTCAACGTCATGTATTTTGGTGTCTGCAAAAGTAAGTGACAGTACTTCCACCTTTTCTGTAGAATGACCCAGCTATCAGATAACGCAGTGAGTCAATTCAATCGTACAATAATCCCAAATTGGCATAAAAGGAAAGGACTAATGTCATAGTAAAGTCAGACACGGTGGAGTTGTCCTTGTCACCTACGTCAAAATGTGCAGTGCAGTAATGTCACTTGAATTAATGTCGTAACATGCTGCAGTATGCAACTTGTGACTGACAACCAGTTGAAACGGGGTAAAGGTTCAAAGTTCAGAAAGGTGCTAACAGTTAGCCTTCAGCTAGCACTGAGGATGTCCGGCTTAGTTAAACCAGGGTTACCAGCTAGGCTGCTCTGACAATGTAGCTGCAGAAACCAGTTTACTGAAACGCCGACTAATGGGTACAGCATGACATTGACCTCAAGTGTACAGAATTATAGCGAAACATTGAGTCATATTTACAATGAGCTTCCTGCTTCTCGTTGAACGCCACATGTAAACTCACCGATTAGAGAGGAGTCAGAGCCGGTGTTGTGTGGAAGTCCGTTTCCCTCGCTTTAACCTCACTGCAAACACTAAACAAACACCTAAACACAACCCTATCATGGGAGGAGAACCCTAAAACAGTGAATGGCCAGGAACTCTTTGAAGAGCATCTTCAGAAATACAAGGGGTTAAGTCTTCTTCTTCTGTTAGTTTGACCGCAGTTGGCAGTGGCAATCCTTAATGTTGCAATACTGACATCTTCTGGAGTAGGTTGTCTCCTGCAGTGTTCAGGTTTTCCACATCGATGCTATCATGCTGTAAAGAAGATAACAAATTATTTTCTGCAGTTCCCCCTTGCACCAAATTAATCATCATCCTTTCTCTGATATATAATTCGTGCATCTCAATCACATGCTTACTCTTTTTGGTACATGACAATGATCACAAAGACCAGTTGGATGCTGCTCTTTTCCCTATTCTCTCCATATTTCTTGCACTATTTTAATTGTATTGTTATTTTAAATGTGTTTTATTGTTTTACGTCCTATATAACTATGTTGCAATGTTGGAGGAGTTTGGGATATATATATGAACATAAAGCATTTGAAATTTAAATTTGAAATATTATTTTACAACATTATGGAAGCCCATAAGGGACTTTTTTGAAATAATATTGTGAATTTAGAAATGCAATTCCACAATGTGGCAATTTAGTATGATTTTTTTTAATAATCAACATTTATTTTCATTTTCACATCAAAGGTCACTTTAAAGTAAAAAAAAAAAAAAAAGGAATAATCAGTTTGACAACGCATTACCCCCTCTTTCAACTTGGCCAGGCTGCTTTTGACAAACGTGATTACTGATTCATTGTTGAAATATCTTAATAAACAATGTAACCTGATTTGCATTTATGCAAACAAAATGTTGATCTAAGGAAAATGCAACCCTCTAACAATTTGAAAATGAAAACAGTACCTTACCTACACATCAATACTTAATTTCAATAAGTCCCTTGCTAATTTCTCACAGTTAAATACATTAATATTATACTCAGGAAAGCACATGAACCATGCGATTAAACCATATTTATCTATTTTATTTATATAAAGTCCCAAGCTGTGACCATGACAACATAACTATTTTCTGAGGGTAATAATTGAATGTATGTTTATGTTGTCTTAGAGAGGCTGCATCCCCTCACCTTGTTTTGTTTTATTTTAACAAAAATGCCTTGCCAAGAAAAAGGACTCGTGTGTCCTATTATGGGTGGAGACGGCCGCAGTGGTAATCCTGCTGACCTCCTGATCAATAATTCAGTCTCTCTCCGGCAGTGCTCATCAATAATAAATGCCAGGTGGGGTTTTTGGGGAGGAATGTTTCAGGACAGTTGATACGCAGCGGCTCTGGATTGGTCAGACGCGCTGTCATTCT